TGACATACTGCAGCTTTAATTTCACTCAGGAGAGGACAGGTCAGGAGGGACGTGGGTTAGAGCTTCTGCTCACTCACTCATCTGTTAAATGGTAAAAGGCACAGGGAACAAGTTAAATATATGAATATGTTGGTAATTTTTTTCCTTAATTCATTTAATGCTAGTGAAAGGGAGGCAAACAGTAGTCTGTAGCTAAGTTAACTATGCTAAATGGTTGATAATCTCACACAGTCTACCCACCTCTCTTGGAGAAAAACTGGGTTATAAATTAACACTCTTGCCTTTTTCTCTCTCTCCATTTTGTTTTTGAAAACCTGATTTTATAACTTTTCTTAGCAGAATAGTAACTGGCACAGTCGTTTCGTGGCAGCTGTATTCAGCTGCAGCTTCTACTGATTGTAGCTGCATAGGTCACCGTCAAGCCTCCAAGCAGGGACAAACCATTTCATGCAGATCCGTGGGGGAGTCAGGGCAAAAACGGATGTGTGTTTTTTGGTCTGGGAGGGGTTACATTTTTACTACTAAAAACAATCTTTTAAAATACAATATGATTAATTTTGTATTTGACAGGACCCCAATTTTTTTATTTTATGTCTATGAACAAAATATAAATAATTAAATTGTCATCACTTTTCACCCCTTTACCGCGCCCCTGTGTTCAACACAAGATGTTCAAGAAAATCTTCATAGCATGAAACCATATGAAGACTCTCCTACATTGAACATCTTCAGCACAAGAATTTGTTCAATATAAGATGTTCAACTTCTTATGCTGAAGATCCCATGTAGGTCAGTATGTGCAAACATACAAAGTAGCACCTGTTAGTGAAACGTCTACTCATGGCGTCAACAAGAAACCAACTAGGGGTACTCAGATCAGCATACCTTCATATCCCCTATACCTAATTGGTTTTTATTATGTCTGATATAGTTTTCTGCTGTGTTTGGGAACTTGTGTGATGTGGGAGGTTAGCTGCAGATTGAGAGTGCAGGTGCAACTAAAGTGCAAGTTCAATTTGCACATCAATCCAGTATGTGTGGGGGGGAAAGATGTGCAGGTGTATGTGGTGTGGTGTGGTGTGTGTGTGTGTGTGTGTGTGTGTGTGTGTG